TGGCGCGTTGCGGAGATTATTGCAATTCTTCCGGTCCTGCTCCAGGTCTCCCTCGCACTCTTCCTGGCTGGTATACTCGTCCTTCTCTGGCACCTACACCCCACGGTCGCTTCCGTCGCCAGTACGCTCATCAGCCTGCTGTTGTCGTTTGTGGTGGTCACGACTGTCATGCCCGTGTTCTGGCGGGACTGCTGCTACCTCTCGCCTCCAACGTACGCTATATTCCGTGCTGTGCATCGTATCCATTTCCTCGTCACATCGCTTAGGAAATTGTTCAAGGCACTGTACAATTGTTGCGACGCACTCATTGACCTCGAGTGGCTACCAGTCTTCATTCGTTCGTGGCTCAGAGACCTCAGTCTTTGGGCTGTGCGTCAGGACTGGAATACGGTGACAGTACCTACATGGCGTGGTCGAGAGCGGACGGCCGTCCAATCATCCGCCTCCGAACTCGACGTCGACATGATCGCCCAGGCCTACTCCACTACAGTGGATGTCAACCCCCTCTACGACACGGCAGGGGTGATTCTCGCAGACAAAGATGCTGATATGGTTGGCCGATTTTTTGAAGAGATTCAGGATATCGATGGGCGACACTTCGGCAAACCCATCATCACAATGCGCTCTGCCGACTTTTGGGCTAGTGCGTTGATCCATGCATCACGCGAAGAAACTCTCCAGACCGTGGCCCGTCGTCTCTGCATGGAGAGTGGATGCTACCGTGACAACATCAAGTCTGGACAATATGACAGATTGCTCCTCGCTTTGGCTGCCATAATGGCAGATCCAATTCCAGGATCACTGGCGCCCTTCTTCTCGCTACGGCTCTTGGAAGAATTAATCACCTCGATTCCAGCCGCTCTTGAGGTCGTGCCGTGGAAGACAATCCGCCATGGTGCGTGAACAAAAGTCCCACTCAACAGTCTCTCAGCTGACTCACGCAGTTACAGTTGCAGCAGCGATGGAAACGAGGCTGCTTCTGCTGCCGCGCACCTCAGATGCCAGTGGTGCAATAGCCCGAGACCCCGACTGGTTGATGGTCTTCCTATTGCTGAGGATACTGGTCCAGTGCTGCTTTGCCCCGGTCTCTTCATGGACGCGATCTCAAGACGAAACCAAGGCGTTGATGAGGTGCATATTTGGGTCGGACTTTCTCGAGAGGGAGTGGCTCTCAGCGGTCGCTCCGCAGCTCCAGTCTCCGTTGGTCGCCGTGACCATGTTGACAACTCTCGACCTCATTCTCACATATCTAGGCGAGTCCAAGGCAGCTCTGAGTCAAGCTCCTGGTAGCTTTCTAGAGGCCGCAGAGAAGGTTGTCGAAATTGCCGAGGCGTCGAGAGATCCTCACACCTGGACTTGTGATGATGTGCAGAAAGAACTGGTCAAGCTGAAGCACAGCTTGGAGACATGCAAGTCTCTGGGGTTAGGTGTCGGAGCTGAGCAAGCGAGATACTGGGATTATCTGCCGGATGCAGAGGTATGTTGCCATTGAACCAGACTCGAGCTATCTCCATGTTGACGGCTTCGATTCCCTGGTAACCATGACAGTCCAAATTAAGGGCGATAGATGCACACACTGAAGGGCGTTGAGTCCCAAGTGTGTACAAGGCGCATGACATCCAATTCTCTTCAGCTCCAATCTAGTCAAGTATGTCGAGTGCCTAGCTTCGGGACATCCATACCCTTATGTATTCTCACAGAGAAACTGAAGCGCAGCTTGGAAACCTGAGCTTCCGCAGTGGCATACGTCCTCCGCCGCACCCTCCACCTTTCGTTTTCGGGCGGTACCAGCCTGCCTCAGGCCCCTAAAATGCCTCCCGCTTGTACGATGCTGGTATGCTGTAACGAGTGTTCTCATTGTGATGTCTGTCTGTCTTAACTTCCGAATTGCTGGGCGCACGTCCTCCCAAAAAATTCTGCAAGAACTCGCGTTGCTCTGTTGAGCGCGGGACGTTTCACTATTGCTTCACACTTGAGCCTCCCCTATCTTAACAATTCTCCAGACAGTCGCCCACTTCTAATACCCCCGTCTATTGTATTAATTTACAATGTCTACAGAAGCGGCATTGACCTATATGATGCATCTTTCATACAATACTCCGTTGCAGTAACGCCTTCAAAGAAGGCTCAGGCTAGAGCGAAGGGGCCAGCGGTGTACCAGTGTGCCCTGATGCAGCCTTCCGTCTCTGGTCCTGCAGAGCACCCGGAAGATGACCGTCGTCTCTCTGACGGTAACGCACAAAGGAATCCACATACCAAACGATTGCATACATGGATGCGGTCGTCTTATGTGCAACCCCAACATTCGTGGGAAGTAACAAGTAGGACAGGGACGAAGGAGAGAAAGATGGGAATGTGCGAGGACCACGGCGCCATCATTGGACGTACCTTTGAATACTCCATCTCCTCTAAGGTGGCTCACGCCGACGACGTCCGCCAAGAGTTGAAAATGCTAAGCGTGTTGTATTTGAGAGGCCATGGGGGTGGGAAGTACGGATCACCATGTAGGTGCCGAATTCGAATTCCCTTGAAGTTCTCTCCTGATTTGTGTCCATAGACCACTATACGTCACTTCGGAGGCCAACTCCCAAGACTGCAATGCTGTGTCAATCCGGTAGAGAAACGACTCAGCTGCAGATGTATCCATCGAGGACTTGAATGGGACGCTCCGAACAAGACACTGGATGTACTCGTCCCGTCGGTATATAGCAAAAGGCCGACCTAACATACGGTCTGGGGGTTGTCATCAGTGTTTGCTCCGCCACGTACCGATTGATGGTACATGTATACCCTGGTTGCAACCAGAAACATGCCCTGTGTATAGGCCCCAAAGTTTGGCACAAGCGAGGAACATGCCGTAGGACATGCCACTCGCCCTAGATGTGAGCAAAGGCGTCCTCAAGACGCAGACATAGACTCAAGAAGTCAGCTATGCTCAGAAGACGACAAATGTGATAGGACTACTCACCGAGCTAGACGGGACCGGATCATCGGTCGTCTAGACGATTGACATGCTGAATCCAGAGATCGCCGTCACAGAGTGCACAGAGAGCGTCGTTGAAGAGAAGGCAGACGACGGGAGCCTCAGGTCCCACCAGTGACCACGTGAGCTGACTAATCTGGTAAAGTCTGCTCACGATCGGACCTGTCATGCAGCAGCTCCGATGCTACATCAGCAAAAAAGCGAAACAGATGGTCAGTGATGTCCAGGTTCCGCAATTCTGACCAGATTGTGCAAGGTATGAGAAGTAGATGGTAAACCCGTACCAAATCCGCCAGATATGGTGTGCAATGGCCAGACCTTTCAGGGCGCCTGGACATTGATAGCCATTTCTCGCTGAGCATCTGGACATCAGCTACCATACTGTAGGGGAACTAAGACCAATGATGTACATGATTGGCTCAGCCAATTAGCATATATGGTCAATCTTAGGTGCAACTTCTACCAAGCTCGCGCTCCGAAACGGTCGTTGGTCGACAAATCTTAACATAATCCAATTTTGTATTTACAATAATCAATCATAATCGAGCACGGACTAAGTACTATAAATACATGGAAGAAGGGGGCCATAAAAACACTTACTACTCGCGAAATCGGGCGGGGTTAGGGTTATTAGCGCTAGAGCATGTGAGTAACAATGTCTAAGGCAAAGCGACTCACTGAGGAACATAGGGGACTTACACATCGGCTGAGGCGAAGAAGTAGCACTAGACTCACCATTAAGTTACCGAGGGAATCTTTGAGCGTCAAGAAAAGCAGACGCCCCTGGGTACGCAATCCACCTTCAATGTCCTCGCCATAGACATGCCCTGCAGAAGTACAAAAAATGAAGTGAAGAAACACGACCCACAGAAAGGGAAAGAGCAAGACAGAAGGCGGGTGTGGCCAAGTTGGTTATAGGGGACGTGGATGGCAGCGGCGGTGGATTGCTAGCAGCCGCATCAGATATCGGCGGCGGCACAGCCGGTCCGGACAAGGTCGTAGGCGGACATGTCGATGTCGAAGACGAGCTACCTACTTCTCGAGACCGTCGGGGATGACAAGGGAGTTGTAGCGGAGGTAGACGTCGCCCCAGAGTGTGAACACGAACTCGCGGTGGGTGGAGAGCTTCATGGGTGTGTGCTCGCGGTTGAGCCAGTTGAAGATGGTCTTGAAGGGGTACAGTCAAGAGGTAGAGGGTTTGAGGAGCGACAGTTCAGGGCAGGTTGGCAGAATTGTAGGCTGTGCGTCATCGATGAGCCTTGCTGAGAGTCAGAAGGGCGAAGATCGTGAAGGGAATGTCGCCCACCTGGGACAAATGCTCACAGTGGCTGCGCGTCGGAGGTCACTATAAGGTTATACCTTGATGCTTGTCATGTCAGGGTGGAGAAGTGGCGTGAATTCACGCTGGACGACCCTGGCGCACAGCGCGTAAGCAATGCGAGCACAAAGACAGAGCTCACTGAGCGTCACAGACAAGCAGACGGAGAGAGCAGAGGCGAAGAGGAGAACGAGGAGAGCGCGAGGGAGAGGGAGATCAGGGAGACGTTAGCGCCGGAGAGCCAGGAGGCGAGTACTGTGGTCCAGCGGAGCGCTATGCATAGTCTCAGGCTGTATCCACACTTTCTCTAATGACACTTTTGTAGTATGAAGTGACAGTGCAAGATAATTACTTACCTACCATTACCGGGATCCATCTGCGCAGATGCTCAATGGCCGGAGTCTGTCGGACGAGATGGGAGTTGGCCAGCATTAGTAGGCGCTTATGGTTTCCGGAAAGGGTAGGCCAGTTTCGGGCGCCGTGGCCATGCAATACCATTGTTTGTACAATTTGCTGATGTACTACCACATATCGCTCCTTGTTCTCGACTGGAAATATCAGAGCCCTCGCAAGCCTCGCTTTGCATTGACAGGAATGGCACATTTTCCTGCACGGGCCAAGATATGGTCTGTAGAACGGGCATCGTTCCCCCATCTCGCTAGCACGTTACTTCAATCTATCCATTTGGCTCTTCTGACACTCTCTTGGTAAGACGCTATGTCATGCTACGTTACTTCTGCTGATACCAAGCGGCGCGAACTGCACCAAGTCGGGTTCTCAGCTAATGTGGACGTCATGGATAGCCTCCGGACAGATGGTAGTGCGGAGTCCAAGTCCATAGATCCCGGCAAGTAAGGGCCGCGACGTCCTGTCAAACCTGTCTACTGACTTGCCAACAATGGACACATTTGTTCAGAGACGGCAACAATTTGAAATGCAGGTTTCGAGGACCTTCAGCTCCCACATCGTATCTGTTTCTGCTGGCCACCACTTCATCCGCGTAAGCATCACGTTCTAGCCGTACGTCTGTTTACTCGCACCGTCTTGCATCTCGACTGTGCCTACTGAATTGTCCAGTCTTCATCAAACACATTCGATCGGAGTACCAGCATGCGCCTGCTGGACACAGAGACGGGTCGGTTCGTGGACAGAGACCCAGCACATACCACCTATGCCATCTTGTCCCACACTTGGGATACCTCGGGCGGAGAGCAGACGCACAAACAGCTGAGAAAGATCCTGAAACGATATGTCGCCGAGGCCGGGCGGCCTCGCAGCGACTCCCGTGGTCTTCACGCTCCCTCCCCTCCGGGGTGGATGCTGAACCAACCTCTTGGCGGTCTTATCACCCCGGAGTCCGACACTGCCCAACCTAGTGCGTTTCCAATTGATTCTTCTGGCTCTCTATACCTTCCACCCTCCATGGCACCTTTGCCATCCATCTGGGACGATCCGGAGCTGTCGCCAAAGATCCGAGACGCATGCGCATTCGCGCGAGCGAACGGGTTCCGTTACATCTGGATCGACTCATGTTGCATCGACAAGACCAGCAGTTCCGAGCTCTCCGAGGCTATCAACTCGATGTTCGTTTGGTATGCGGAGGCGCAGGTCTGTTACGCGTTTCTCGCCGACGTCCCTGTCGGAGAAGACCATACCGCGGCAGGATCATCCTTCCGCAGAAGCCGCTGGTTTACGCGCGGCTGGACGCTTCAGGAGCTTATCGCACCCTGGGACGTAGTGTTCTTGTCTTGCGATTGGACGGTGATAGGGTCGAAGAACACATTGTCCAGGCTCGTGGAGGAGATCACTGGGATTGATCGCGAAGTCTTGCTACATGAGAAGTCGCTCGACTCGGTCAGCGTCGCCGCACGCCTGTCCTGGGCGTCGAAGCGAACAACGACGAGGGCCGAGGACCAGGCGTACTCACTCCTTGGTATCTTTGACATCAACATGCCTACCTTGTACGGAGAGGGCGAAAGGGCTTTTCGCCGGCTGCAGGAGGAGATCATGCGCCGTGTCCCGGACCAGAGCCGTTTTGCATGGGGTCGATGTGCTGTCCAACTTCAAGGTCCGCCTCCCCTTCCGTCGGACGACTCTATCGGGAATCCACGAGCGGCATACGTCACGTCTTTTATACCACGGCCTTCATCCCTCCTTTCCCCGTCCCTCACTCGATTCCAAGACGGGGGGAAGATCAGAGTCGTACCGCGCGATAACATCCTCCAACGCCTCAAACTCTCCCCCGGTCATCCTGCGACGGAGTACATCTTCTCTCCCTACGGGATCCGCATGCAGATACCTGTGCTTCCCCTTTTCTTATTCATCGCCCCAGGAGCGCTGGAACACATACGCACAGAATCCAAACACTGGTACTTAGCTATCCTCGGCTGCGAGAGCTGCGATTTCCCTGGGCACCTCCTCGGACGTGTCGTCCGCATCAGCGCGCCCGGCTCAGATATCCAGGCGGCCCAAGCTGGGGTTGCTTGTGTGGAAGCCCAAGACGATAGTGCGCAAGGCGGGTTCGACCTCGTCTCTCTATCGCCGATGACCATAGAGCGCTACCGCGCTCACATCGAAGTCAAGACGCTGTACATATCTCATCCCGAGCGGACAACGGGAACAGAAAGGAACGTCTCGCATCGGGCACACGAGCGGATTAGCTTGATCCTTCCGCAGAAGGCTCACGACGGTCTGCGCGCGCAAGGTTATGCCGTGGATCTGCAGGGACCAGACCAGAGCAACCCCGATAGGCACCGACTCACTCTCTCGAGGCAAGACGACCACACTGTGACGATCGCTTATCAACACACGCTAGAGGACGACGGATCGAAACTGACAATCAAAGCGGACATTCGTACGACGTGGTCTCACACTGTCGTGGAGGAGTACTCTAAGGATGACATTTCTTGGACTGACACCATCTGTTGGGCCTCGCATCTACAGCGGATGGAAGTAAGTCAGGCGAGACCGGGAGTGAAGACGATCACGGTCGCCCTGGGGCTGGACTTCGCGTGGACTTCCCGGTACTTCCTGAGCGTGGATGTTCGCAGCGACACCACTGCTGTATTCAGATCGTCTGGTGTTGCGGGACAGCAGGACACAAGGTAGACAAAGCCGCTGTTAGCGATACGACTGTATCATAGAGTCAGGTGGTGGGCGGTACTAGACCCGGTCGTAGGCTTCCAATCAACTGCGGATATGATCAACTTCCTCGCACTGTTCGGCCCTGGTCGGCAACATCAACCCTGTGGGATCAACCCAGGGTGGCTCCTGCCAAATGGCAGCCAGGTTGATCACACAGTTGATCTGTCTCCGAACGCCCTCCGAACGGTCGGTCCTTTCCTTAATCCGGTAGCATCTCGGCCAGATAGCGCCCGCTGGTGTCTGTCACCATCACCTCATTGACGCCCTCAGCCTCTTGGGCTTAACTGCTTATCCTACTTCACAAACATGTCGTGAGCCTTCGAATTTTTGTATATAGTCATAGCAATGCATAGGGTACATGAATATTGACTTTTCCCGGCAATTTTATCCATAGAGCCCAACCTGGGATCTCAACTAGCCAAAGTGGCTGAAAGTCACACAGCGATAAGACAGGGTGACGCATCACGACAATCCCATAAGCGTCAGGGCTGAGTCAGCGCTTTCCGGAGGGGTTCCGTGAAGCGCTCGATATCAACCCATTGATCAACCCAGGGTTGATGTTGCCGACCCAGGCCTTCGTGTTTCTGGTGCGCCCGAGTCGTCCTCGCTAATGTTTGGTTACCGCTTGAGCTGGATCCAGAGACCTCAGTACGGTAGTAGTGCACCCTGTGATGCAGCATGTGCCTCCTTCTCCATGACATGGTGAGTACATTAGGGCTATCCACCTCCATAATAGGTCCCTGAAAGGCCTGCCGCATATAATTTTGAACAACAGGAAGGCTCTCTGAGACTTCAACGTTGAACTGTGGAATGTCGTATTTGATGTCGGTACGCCCATGCATTGATTGACGCCCGATCGTTGTTGGTCCGCAGTCAACCTCACTGCCTCGACGCCCCACGTTCGGTGACCATAGGCCGACCGGACACAAGCTTGCGTATATAACCCATCTCAGGTCGATGAACTGTCAAGAGCGCTCTCACCTTCTCACAGTTGTTGTCATTCGCACGTCGCCATGATTTCTGTCGCTGGCGCTACTCTGCTCGCCGCGACGGCTGTGGCTGCAGCCTTGCCGAAGGGCATCCCTTTACACCTCGACCACGTGGGTCTGGTCCTGCTTTGCTCTTCCAGGTTGCATGTTTTGATGGCTACCGGCTTGGCATCATATAGGGCTTTTGGTACACTAAATTCTCAGTCGGCCATCAGGACTTCAACGTATGTGCGCATATACCTGGCATCTGGATTCACATGTGTCTAACATATACTACATAGCTTACCGTCGACACCGGAAGCTTCGCTGTCCTGATTTCACAAGGACTATACAAACCGACACCCGTGTCCAACTCGACAAATCAAGGCGAGTTCCTCCAGTTCAACGGCGCCAGCGCGGATGGCACCGCGCCCGCGTCCGTGAGTAGCCCCCATACTCTCGTCACTATCACCATACGAAACGAAGTTCACATGTCTGGCTACGTGCAGGAGGTTTTCACTTTTGTCCACGATGATGTCAAATTCGATGGCATCGGTGTGCAGGGTTTCCTTGTGGGAAACATCACCAACGGTGACCCGCTTCCAGCCGACGGGTACGCATGACACTCGCCTTTTAAGTTATCCACCTCACAATTGGTTGGGTACGGACGTGCGCAGGATTATTGGCTTCAGTCCGCCTGCGACGGACATCACTGATCCTGACGATCCGACCTTCCTCGCAGGACAATCGCTGGTGCAGGCCATCTGCGATCAGGAGAAGAGTGCGTATATGCTCATCATCAGCCTCGCTGGCGAGAGGTCTCATGATGGATTGACATGTCGGACAGTTTCCCCGTGCGAGTTCGGCCTCGCCCTTAAGACTGATGGGACGGGTACGCTTTCCTTTGGACCTCTTGGTAAGCAAGTCTCAAACTATAAATGAGCATCGTTGTGACCGATTGGATTCCAGACAAGTCAAAGGTCAAAGGGAAGCTCACGACGCTTCCCACCTTTTCTGTAAGTGTCTTATTGCACATCAAGACGACTTACGGAACAGTGAACTGAGCCGCACTCGACAGCATGATGCGTGGCAAGTTAATAACAGCTTTGAAGCGGACTCTCCCATTCTCGTCCTGAACGGGAAGTCGTTCGGAGACATTGTAGCGACATGTGTGTCTCTGCCTCGGGGTTTCTACGCTTGCGGATGTGCGTTTTCTGACTGCAATGAATTATATCGCTGTGCCTCTAGTCGACAACGGGACCCCCAACATCATCGGCCCACTCGAGACGGTGCGCGCCGCGCTGCAGGCAGCGGGGTACGACCTCCAGGAGGTGACGTCCGATGACATCACCACCGTCCTCGTACGTTTCAGGTCTTCTTCTGTCGGATCCCTCGTCCTTATACCCGAGCGATGCTTTCATAGGGGACGTACGATTGCTCACGCCCTCCCGCTCGCTTCGGGTTCAGCTTCCCTCCAAGTACCGAAGTGCATTACGTGGATGCGAATGCCAATGTGCTGAACCGGACGGCAGATGGAAAGGTGTGCACTGCGAACGTGCTGGGGACGTCGACGCTGGACGTGCCGCAGTGGCAGATCGGGCAGACGTGGTTCCAGGGACGGTGGGTGCAGCATAATCTGGATAAGAGCACTATCGCATTTGCGGACTTGAGGTCTGTGAGGTAAAGACATACCGAAAGTCATTGCGACGCCCATAACCCCGACTCGTAGTAAATCGGACTATGTCCCCTCAAACTTGCCCAGTACTTTACATATTTAGGTCCGCGGTGCTAGCCTACTAGTGTTTGAGATAATATATTGTTAGGGGATGCTGTCTGTTGATCGCGACAACATCAAGACTCCCCCAGACCTCGATCTGCACAAGCTCGAGTGTCACTTGGCGCGTCAACTCAAGCCTGTGTCTGTTCTGCATAGCCATTACTGTGGCAGCAAAAGCAAGGATCAGTCTATGGCACTATCTCATATTCATTTTATCGCGATAGACTGGAGCGTGGTACAAGTGTGAACAACTATGTTGCATTAGTCCAAGAAGTGAGGATTCACATAGGACAGACGTCAATATCTAGTATCCCATTAGTCCACGTGAACGTATGTAGAGTCTCGATAGACAGAGTTGTCTGATTTTGTTCGGCTCCCATCAACTTTTGTCCTCATCCGTTCGACCAAGCAGTTCATGCTCGCCCTCCATCGTCAAGCGAGGCACTGAGTGCCTCAAAGCATCGCCAACGCAGCAAACAGCGCGATTGCAGCGACGAAGGCAGCAGGAGCGCGCGCGCTCGACGCGGCGTTATTTCCGCTTCCACCAGTAGAGGTTGTGCCCGACGTCGCTGCAGCGCTCTGGAGGACATCAGGGCATTCAGGTGCGACGAGCTTGTCGCCGAAGTTGCTCGCAACCCAGAGGACTGCGCCGTTCGTCCAGCCGAAGCCCGCCTGCACGGTATACTCGCCACCGCGGCCCGCGGAGTCGATGTCCGAGATAGAGAACTTCTCGAACATCTAGGAAGTCATGACCGCACCGTCAGCTCCTTGCCACACCAGACGACTAATCGCACTTACATTACCCGTGTTATTTACACTCTGGGTCACGTTCAACTCCTGATCAGACAACCGAGGCAGCAATCCTTGGATCTCTCCGCCTGTTGCGTGCCAACTGCACAGCGCGCTGGCGATGTACCGGTTTGCTAGCTCCCTCTGGAGGGTCGCCGCCCAGCCCTCGCCGTCGGTCTTGTTACCCCCATTGACTACCGTGCCGTTGAGCTTGCTGACATCAGCAGATGGGCCCGACTGGCTGGCGTTCTTTCCAGGGGCAATGGCCTGCGCAGGAAGCGCGTCCTCAGAGACACCAATCTGGCCTGACGGAATGAGGTCGAACGTAGACTGTGTACCGTTGGGAGTCGGGAGTGGGTTACTTGTGATATTTGAAGGGAGCACGCGAAGGGCCTCGAGCGCGATGTACTGGTGTGGGGGCCACGCGTTGGGGGCATCCCTATAGAAATCGTCATATCACCATACGCGATCACATGATGGACACGACGAGACTTACCATTGCAAGCCGGTCTGAATAAACGTGACAGGGAAGGTACCGTTGTAACGGTTAAGGACCATGTTGAGCGCCGCGAAGAACCCGAACGCATTCTGAGACGACGAGAGCAGCTCGTCTGGGATGATCCCATTCCAGAGCGGGTAGAACGTCGCCGCAGAGTAGATAGAGCTGCGTGCGTTGGCCGTCAAATTAAAGTCGTAGAACGCGAGCTTCGACGCGTCCCAGAACAGATCGAGAACCCCGGAACGGAAGACATCGGCGGTGTTGCGGTGTGTGGATGCAGCGGTCGCGTTGTTCTGGCTGTCATAGAGGTCTGCAAGAAGGGTGTGGGCCTTGTAGAGGATGCTGTTGAGGCAGACGGGGATGATGCTACGGACGTTGAGCGAGCGCAGTACGGGGTTCTGGTTCGTGGCAGTGCCCGCAAGGGGTTCCTTCGCCCAACGCGAAGAGTAGTCCCAGCCGGTCTCAGCGCCAGATGCAAGCTCGGCGTAGAGGTTCGAGCGCTCGTCCGCGGTGAGGGGGGTCTGCAGCGTTGGATCATTCGCAGTGAGGTAATCTGTCAGGACAGTAAGTGACAGCCTCCAGTAATGTTCAGAATGGTGCGTACCAGTCAGGTAGGACTCCGGGCGAGGCGCAGTGTTGTTCACAGCGTAGTGAGCGAGAGCGTAAGTCTTGTTCGTGAAGGGGCTCGTGACATTCACCGTGCGCTGAGTAGCCCACCAAGCGAGTTCTTTCTCAGCCAAAGGCAGAGCCCGATCCAACACGGAGGTGTCGTTCGTAGCGGCTACGTAGTCGGACAACATCTGTCGAAGCGGAGCTCAGCCATAATTATGCAGTGGCAGACGCGCGCTCTTACGTGAATGAACAAGGGCGGCTGAGAGCGGTCAAGGTCTGCCGTGACGTCAGTACGTGAGTGCTGCGTGCGGCATGCGGTACACACAGTAAATGCGGCCACCATTGGGGATGAAGCCAAAGTTCTGGATCTCGTCCATGAAGTTTTCCAGCGTGTCCTTGACTGTGTCGAAGAGCTCGGACTTGATGAGGCCCTGGACGATCCAATAGGAATCCCAATAGTCTTCAAACAATCGTATGAGCCACAGCAGTTGTCAAGATGGACATAAGTACACACATTGCTCGCGGAAGCGACCACCAGGAACTACGAAGGTATGGTTGAGGGCAATGAGGGTGCTCTCGCATGGCCCAGATTCCGTGCCCTCTTGGCAGAGCGCAGTCTGATTTGTGTTCCGAATAAGCGACGTCCAGTAGCCATGAACGGTCTGCGAGAATGCCCTGACGAGCGGATCGGAGACATTGTTCAAAAACGCGGGATTGTCGTTAAAGTTTGAGAGCGCAACGGCCTCGAGTTCAAGCCCCTCTCCACGGAAGTTGGTGTCGAGGAAAGTTACGATGTCACCTTCCGTAGCAGTCGTGTTGCCGATCGCGTCAAAGGCGGCCAGAACGTCGTGAGAGGACTTTGATGTTGGCTTGTCTACGAAAGTCTTGGGGTCGGAATATGCGGCTGCGAGGTTGACCGTTTGCAAGAGCTACGCGCGTTGAGGACGAACCGCGCAGGTGTCTCCGATCAGTTGTCCGTGTTTTGGCGCCACCCACGTCAAACAAGGCAACGGACATACCTCCCCAGCACAGAAAATTTCGCTCGGGCACCATGCCTGCTTAGGAGGTAGAGGGATTTGCGAGGGAACGGGCGACGACAAGGGGACACTAGGACTCGCAACCGCGGTCGAAAGCGTGATGGACGGTGCAGTTGCGCTGCTGACGGACGCCTGAGGCATCGCGCGCGCGACGCCGACAAGCATCCCAGAGGAAAGGGCAAGCGCTGTCCAATCTACCATCGTGGCCCAGTCTGAGTGGCGAGCAGGTCGAGTCGGTCGACGGACGCGGGGAAGGGGAATGTGGCGAAGAAGTTATATACCCCGCATCGGACCTGAGACTGATGGACGCGCGCCGGCTACATATGTATTTTCACATCTCATCAGCTCATGACGTTCTCGGGAACCCCTGGCAGTCTCTTCCATAACCGGAACATCGCTACGGCAGGTTCGCTGGCCATATGACCCTCCAACATTCAGAACATCTCGGCATGGAGACGTCCTGAACGTTCACTTCATAAGGGATGGGCGCTTGGGCACATGTTGCAGTATACCCCCAGGCTCTAGAAGGCTCTTGTCACTACAAATCGAAATTCTTTCTTGTATAGCTCCCTTCTTGCCAGGTGACCTGGTCATCTGCAGCACTCGATCGAGTAGTGAAGCTGAAGTTGGAGCGCCCACGCACCTGTCCCCGGAGCTTGGTCCGCATCAACAGCGCCGATGTCGGACGTTACTGTCCAATCGCGAAAGTGGTGATCTCGCAGCATCGTGTATAGCAAGCAAGCAATGAACTCGACCCTCACATGCACAAGAAATTCTGCATCAACATTCCCTAGCGCGATCACATCGACCGCGTTCCAAGGGCAAGAGCCATGCACAGCAAGAGCACTCACATCGAGGGTGGTTTCGTGAGCACGAGTCTACCCAGGTAACCTCGTGGTTGTGATCAAGCCTAAGAGACGGAAAAGAACTTGTCCAAGAGCAAGAGGTGAGGTTGGCAGTACATCAACGTCGCTCGTGGCGGAGTTGAGTTCAGAATAGCGGAGCTGTCGTAGTTGCGCGGTAGTTTCCTAGCTCCGACCTGGAGAAGCATCTCCGCTTTGGGCAGAGCGGTCCTGGCGGTCCTGTGCTTCTTGCTTCTTGCCACAGTGTCCCTGTACGCATCTCCCCTGTTACCTATCTCCTCTCCGACAATCATGCAGCCAAATCGACTAGGGCTTGGTCTTCGTCCACCCATGCAATCGTATGGCCAGGGTCCCTCAATGTCGGCTCTTGCAGCACAACAACATATGCAGCACCCTCCGGCGTTCGTTCCGCCTCAGCCGCAGCAGAAGCCAACGACGCTATTCATTGGATCAATATCAGGCGGCATAACGGATGCTTTTCTGAACGAGTTGCTCAAGGTGCGCTCGCCCCCCGTATTTCCCAACTCCCTCGAAATTGACGCGACCTCAGGCCTGCGGTCCTATCATGTCTTTCAAGCGACTTATCACCCCCGCGAACAAGCCTCAGGGCTTCGGATTCGCCGAGTTCCAAGACCCCGATGGTGCGCTGAGAGCAATGGCCCTTCTCAATAACGTGGAGCTGCCGGCGTTGGAGGATGGCTGTGTGAACAAAAAGCTACTAGTGAGTAGCCTCCCCGATATCGCTACAAGCATCCAGCTCATCTCTATCCTCTCAGGTGAAAGCGGACGAGCGAACCAAAATGTTCCTTGATGCATATTCTGCACAAAAAATGCGAACGGACGTACGTGATCCTACTTTGTTTCGTAGACGCTTGCCCCCTGGTGGCGAGATGTCCCACCACTGTCCCGCGGAGATTATATACCATGAATCGGCAAGGTGCGCGGCATTGGATACTCGTACTCTTCCTTCTCTTGGTATATATTCTCAGACATGGACGTCAAACGGGGCATGTCGCCATGCAGCACTCGTAATCTCATGAGACGTTTCTAAACGCACTAACCTTCCTCAGGCGGACGACGAGGCCCAGCGCCAAGCCAAGGTAAAGGTCGACGAGCTCCTGAAAGACATCAACAAGAAGTCGGCCGAGGCCGCCAGTAATGGGCTTTTGGACAAGGAGAAGTACGTTATCCCCCCGCATCTCCACGATCTCCAGGAAGCCGACTTGCCCGAGACCCAACGCGGCCTCGTCATGACCGAGATCGCGCAGTTCCGCGAGCGAGCCGCGAAGCGGGAGCGCGAGAAGATGCGCGACGTGCGCGAGCAGTTGCCGAACATCCTCGCTGCGGCGCCTTCGGGCCCCAAGGTTCGCGAGTGGGGCAAATCACAGGCCCCGAACCAGCCCCCGGAGTCTCCTGGAGGTCCGAAGGGCTTCGGCAAAGGCGCACAGGGCTACAGCAAGCCTGTCGGCTTCGTCAAGGCCGAGGATGACGGCCGGACGCCAGGCTCGGACAGGCAGTCATCCGTACGACCGGGGAAGACAGATGAGGAGCTCGAACAGGAGAGGAAGGAGGCACGGAGGCGAGATGAGGAGAACTCGTACAAAGACGTGAGCTCATGCCTTTTATAACCACCTCGCGACCCTCGTGACTCATGCTTTCACAGCGAGAACGTCGATACGAGCCCCGCGAGCGCGCCAGAATACAGGCTCTCGAGCGAGCGATCGCTCGGGAACGTGCGATGAAAGAGGCGGAGGACCGGGACCGGATAGAGATGCGCGCCCGACTAGACGTCTGGGACGACGATGAGAGCGACGAGTTGTTTTATACCGATCGCACACGCTGGCGCAGCCTGCGCGCACGCCGACTCGCAGCCGAGCAAGCCGCGGATGAGGAGTCACGGCTGTACGAGGAACGAGAGACGGAGAACCTTCGACGCGAATCGGAGGCATTCCTCGCGCGGCAGATGGACGAGATGCAGGCGCTACAGGAGGAGCAGCGCAAAGCCGGCATGCTGCTCGAAGATGGCGCTCCTGTCAAGCTCAGCGTGTCGCTGGCTGCGGCGGGGCAAAAGGAGGGCGTGCCAAAGGAGAAGGCAGCGGTTTTCGGACAGGAAGAGGAAGAAGAGGAGGCGATCAGGAAGCGGAAGGTGCCGCTGCCGAAGCTAGACCTCGCGGAGGGCGGCGAGATGGCGAAAGAGCGGCTCGAGAAGATGCGCGGAGATGTGCCACGCGACAAGGAGACATTGTTCAAGAGCAAGGTCCGGTGGGACGGCGTTTCAGACGTGAGTACATTGCTCTAGTAAAGCGACCAACTTATCGCTGATTTTCGTTGCAGAACATGATCGATCGCAAGCTTGAGCCTCTCATCAAGCGCCAGATGACCAAGTACCTCGGCGAGCTCGAAGACGACGATCTCGTCATGTTCGTTCTGGAGCACCTGAAGGACCACAAGGGCCCGCACAAGCTCATCGAAGGCCTGGAGCCGGTGCGTGTTCTACTGCATTGACTACGTCCGACTGACGGCTACGTACGTACCGATATTTGTTGCTTACCTCCAATCACAGGTTCTCGAGGAGGAAGCCGCCGAGTTCGTCATCAGTATATGGCGTCAGATCATCTTTGAGAGCATGGCGTACGGAGAAGGCCTGCACACAGAGAAGATGATGGTCGATTGAAGACGAAATCAAATCTCCATGCACCGCTATACGCTATCGATATCTTCTTGGACTCAGTCGTACGTGGAGAGAGAAGCGAGTGATGCCTCTCATGCTCGGGGCAGGTACGTTTGCGTAGTATCGACATGCTTTCCACTAAGATGTATACAAGTTCCATGGCCAATTGTCTACTGTACTGTTTTCGAGCTCTCGCACCTACTCATACCAAATCTCGCACGGTGCGGCGGAATGGCGTCGATCCGAAGATAATCGAAACGCTTTCGGAGGGAGTAGACGCTTTGTGTCGTGAGTTGCATGTTCATCGAGCGTTTTATCACCAAAGATGATGTTACCGCCGCCTGTGCGGCAATGAAGCACGTTGCAGGGATTCCGTACCAGTTTCCATTCCACCGCGAAGCCCTCCATGTGGCACGATGGATGCTTCATAGCGTAACTGACGCTGAGTACCAATATCCTCTTGTTCCTGAACGATTGACGCGTGGTGGTGGCCTGTACGTAGGGCAAAGAGGGCGACTCCCGAGAACACTGTATGGTGCCTTGATCTGACATATGGGCATGACGGGTGAGTGTTCAGCCCTTTGTAACTCGGGCTCCTGAGTGGTGCGTGCGTTCGTAATACTTGTTGGCTCCTGCTGCACCTGTCACGTAAGGATTTGGTAGCGCCTATAACTGGTATTTGTAGTTCCTGTCATCGCGACTATGCCTATGACATCCCGTCCAAGCTTCAAAATGGTGCGTGGTCTATGCGTACCCTTCCTGCCCCCACAGGCTCTATCGACTACAGGCATGATCCGTTCAGAGTAAACGACGAAGGCGTAGAACTCCTTCGCGTACTCCTCCAGCGAATGTCGGAAGAGATCAGGGTAGTGTTCTCTCCGAGGATGTGTATGCTGTACCGTTACTCGTTTGGGTAAAGCTTGAGGCCTCCCGACTTGCTGGTAGGGTCCAGCTCCAGTTCTGCTCTCCCCTTCGCCATGGCGGCTACCAGCTCCTCTGGGGTGGCCTGCATCGCATCATTATGATCTTCCGGTGAGCATGAACATCGGGAACCCCCAATGATGTCACTGACAACGGGTTGCTCGGTCGGCAGGTCCTCCACAGATAAAAAGCGAGCCCCGATCTCGAGCACCTCATGACGCGTTAGCAGGTCTTCCCATACAATCACGGCGCGGTCGAGAGTACGAGGGTCAGTGATCACATGCGCGACATAGGTGCCGACGTGGTTCCGGTCAGTCATCGAGTTGGGCACATCTCCTGGTCCATAAATTGTACCTCTTCGTTGTCTCTGCCACCTGGCTGCGCTTCGGGAGCGGCAGCGAGAGCCGCATAACCCAGCCGATGTCGATGAACGTATAGAGCAAGCCGATGTCTCTAAATAAGTCGCGAATAGCGTAGTTCTGCGGGTATCAGGATGAGCCTGCCGTAAACTTATGCCTCTAGAATGAGGGCAGGACACACCCAGTCGCCCAGCGCCCGCCGGCCCTTCTCCCCGGAATGGCCCAATCACTAGGGATGAAGCCCTTCTCTCTGACGTTCAATCAACTAGGGCGCTGATGACAATGTCGACGCCTTCGAAGGTACTCTCTAGCTGGTCGACGCCGTCCGTGACGTCTCCGATGCGTATCTCGATACCAATTGAGCGCAATCGTGCCGTCTCCGACTTTGGGAGCGAAGCCTCGCGAACGAGGGCTGTGATAAGTTGCATAGAACCGACTGTGTAGTCTAGTATGGGGCAAAGGGACACAGACGCACGGAGTTGCCGGACTCGAGCAGTCCTTGAACGACGCTTGTACCGAATTTTCCCGTGGAGCACCAGAGGTTTGCTACTTACTATGTTCATGGGTGACATATGTTGCGTCCTCCGGCGGGGCGTTCAATTTACTGCATCTTGCGTTGCACGGAAGTGAGCCCTCCGGTGGCGGTCAAATTCGCCGATCACGGACACGACGATAGGCTTAGTAAACAGGTGTCAGTGGACGCCCTCAAAGGCTGCCCGTGTGTTGTATTCCGAGGTGGGAGGATTTCAGCTGGCGGACAAACCACCCATTCATAACGCCACACCTCGTGATATTGTAAATATATTGGGAATGTCTTGTATTCCAACTCTGAGACACTACGCGGAAAAAACAGTCTATTAGTAACTTAAGGTTACAATGCGGTTTTCTGTGCAGCTGGTATGGACGCAGGTTCCCATGGACATGAAGCTGAAGCCGCCTCAAGCTCAGCAAAACGGGTTCTGAAAGCACCTATCGAACGCGTTGCAAATGTCAATATGTGTTGGCAGTAGTGCTAGCTTGCATGATATCGTGGCCCTACCTCTGTGGGAAGTTATTGACCAAAGGAGCATGTACAGGGTACACGTGTCGGACGCAAGTACAAAAAAAGGTGAGCATGGCCAACACCGACACTGTGTACTCAGTCCGAGAAGCTCGGCCGAAGTGTTCGTTGCACATATCCTCATCCTCATGCGTTGTGTGTTGAAAGAGGCCAGTTTAAGATCACAATACACTCAAAAGCTCCCATGTATTGTAAGTGTGTGTCTCGTAGAACTCATAGGCAGTTCAGAGTATGGCACGTGTTCAGGACATCATCGCTCAGACGATTTCTCAGTTCCCTTTCTCACGAAGGACGATCTTATTTCAGCACCATACTTCGTCTCTTGGTCCCACCCTGACTTGAAGTGAGTCGCTTACTCTTACTCTACATCCAACGCTACTCCATACCCTCCGCCGTACCCATGCCCGCGGTCCCATACCTACCTCAAGACATATCGAGCTCGCTTGCGAACGACATCCGCGCACGGCGAGGTGCTGGGGGCCTCCTTCCTCTGGATAGGATTCTCCTCCACGCACCCCCAATCGCTGAGGGATGGTCCAAACTCCTGGGAGCTGTCAGGACTGGGAGTATACTAGAAGATGACCTTCGAAAAATAATTGTGAGCGTATCATCGCCTGTGCTGCTCTTGAACGCCTTTGGCTTGACGAACGTTTCCTTTAGATCCTGCGGGTAGCTGCTCGCAATGGGGCATCTTTCATATGGATTCACCATGAGCAACTTGCCAGAGCCGCCGGGGTGTCGACGGAGCAGCTCACACGCATCGGGGACATCGAAACACCTCTTCCAGAGCTGAGCCACCTGACCTCCTCTGGTCCTGGTCTGTTCTCCGTTCCACAGGCCGCTGTATTACAGTTGGCCGAGGACATGACCACGAAAGTCCACTTGGGTCGAGATGGTATCCTCCCTACCCTCACAGCCTTCCAGCAGTCACCGCTTCGTGACCCGGATAATCTTCACCGCAAAGTGGTCGAGGCCGTGTCCACATGCGCCGCCTACAACATGACCAGCCGGTTCGTTGTCGCACTGGACGTGGACGACCGTGCGAACATACCTTGCCCCGTCCCTGGGCTGACAGCACAACCTGTATCGTCACATCCCGGACTACCCTCTGGAGTTCTTGCCTCCACATCCGTCAATGACCTCTACTTCGGAGAACAGGCAGAAGAGTAGACATGGTTTGGACCCTTCGTCATGTGCCTCGAGTTTGTGCTCACGTCGTCATGAGTAGAGACAATTGTTCCAGGAAAGGAAGTAGTCGTAGAATTGGAAGACAAACGTGAAGCCGTACCACAGTTCGTATCCACGTAGCTATGTCAGTGATCGTGCCCTTTGACATTTCTGGTGTCGCAGAATCCTGATTTGTTGACTTTCTCATGAGCATCAAAACATGCCTTCGCCGATAAGATGATTGTACATATTCACCTGTCGCTCGTGAGATATATCAGTGCATACACTATCTTGGACAGACTTACTCGAAGATGTCCGTGGCGTAGCGACCGTTCATGATTTTGTCGAAGAGCTTAACGGCACCCTCGTCGTTGAGGTTGTTCTGCTCCTTAAGGAAGGTCACGATGGTCTGCTTCACGCCTGCAGCAATCTTGCCCGCCCCGCAGACGTATATCTACGGATCGTAAACACGTTAGCATGTACTATGTAAAACATGTGGGCACCACATCCCGTACCTTCCCGCCTTTCTTGAAAGCCTCCTCCACCTCCAAACGGTCATGCCAGATGCGGCTAGAAGCAATGTAAGAGGACAGCAATGCGAAACAGCAGCGTTAAAACTTACTCTTGGACGTAACGACAGTCACTGGAGTCTCCAGAAGAACGCGAGAACGCGGGACGCACATCGACGATGCCGAGCTCAGCCCACTCCTGCAGGTCAGAGTCTCCATAGATTAGATCCTCCTTCGGGTGGCGACAGCCAAAGAACAACAGGTTCTTCGCGACTTCTCGTCCCGCGAGTTTCTGCATCGCGCGCTCCTGCAAGAAGCCACGCATTGGCGCCAGTCCCGACCCGGCCGCGACCATGACGAGGGGGATAGTCGGGTCGGTCGGCGGATGGAAGTGCACGTTCGAGGTGCGCACGGACAGCTGTACTTTGTCCCCCTTTTTCAAGTTCGATAGGTACGTCGACGCTACCCCAAGGAACGGCTCGGCTCGACCAGAAATAGCTGGTGCATCAATGACACTGATCGTGAGTGAGACACGTTGGGGATTCCAGAGAGGCGAAGAAGAGATGGAGTATTGGCGAATACGCATGGAGGGCAGCATATGGAGGAAGGTGGACAACGAGAGTGCGATATCCTTGTTCTCTTCGAGTATGTCAAGCACGCTCAGGCGTTTCTTGAATACCTTCTCGGCGTAGTTCGCGGAGAGATCCTGGAGGACTTGTCTGGACTTTTCCGTGTTCTCTGCCTTGAGAAGGGTCTCAAGGTCACGCTGAGTAGCTGGCTGCTGCAGTTCTACGTAGCCTTTCAACAGATTATGGATAGTAATTGCCTTGCCGACTGGGAGTGAGGTTGGAACGGACGAGTTAATTTCGATCTAGTTAAGCCAGTCAGTCCCAGTTCAATGCGTTTCAAATTCACACGCAACAAACCTCCTGCTCGATAGACAGTCCGAAATGAGCGATAACCCGGCGTACCACTGGTTCGGGATTGGTAGGCAGGCTAGATAGCTAGTTAGTATATAGACCTCCGAGTCGAAGGCATGTAGCAGCAATGCGCTTACATAGCCAGGTAATCACCCGCCCTGTAAGTCATACCATCAGGTAAGTCAAACTCTGGCGGCCGTCTTAATGAGTGGTGCAGTGATTCAAAAAGTGAAGACACACTCACCAATATGACGTTTCGTAGGGGCATTGACGCTAGTGAGGACCCTATTCTCAACTACTGTACCTAGCGCAATGTCCTTCTGGCGAAGAATTTCCGCCCGTGCGGTGCCACCCGAGACTGTCTTGATATCAATGCCGGTTACCTCAGAGCTTCTAGTCGTCCCGTATTCCTGCGACACGCTGATCAGCGACTTTCAAAGGTGTGAAGGCGATCGGACTCACAGCAGCTAGCTCCTTCCACAATTCCTTCTCCCATACATCGAACGAATCAAAGAACTCCGCTCCAGCAGCATCACCTTCCCCACGTTGGACAAGGCGCTTCGCACCATGCGATGCGAGCTGCTCGTCAATGAGCTTCGGGATACGCTGGTACGTGTTTACCCAGTCACGGTTACCGCAGCCGAACACCGCGAACCTGAGATCGGCGAATGCAGATTGATCCTGCACGTTCTCGAGCCAAGCAAAGAAGTGTGCAGCGTTGTCGGCCGGTTGGCCCTCAAACGATGATGTAACGATCACAACAGGACCGTCCTCCGGGAGATTGGCGGTGACGGAGTCGAGCGTGCCAATGGAAGCCCGGAAGCCTTCAGACAGGTGGCATCAGCATGTATCACAGATGGCGAATATGAAGGGGATCTATCACCATGCGTAGGAGCATCCGACGCTAGACGTTGAGCGAAGGACTCCGAGTTGCCGGTGTTCGATCCATACAGAATATACAACTGTTGCGACTTCGATGCGTCCCCAACCGATGTTGCGTTCGGACCTTCTGCAGCAGCCGGACCTGCAGGGGAAAGCGTGGACGAGGGGATAGCCAGCAAACGAGGTTTGTTCTTGCGCGGGATGGCGTGGATAAAGAAGTTGTGGGGTTTGATCGTGAGCGTCTGCTTGAGCTCGAGCTCGTAGGAGGGATCATCCATAATGAGGTCAAATCGCTGGAGGATCGTGACAAGGGCGATCTGCGCTTCTTGCCAGGCAAACGGACGACCCTGCCAGGCGAGGCTGTAAGCATGAGCCAGACGGCGGGGATCGCACTAGAACTCACGATGCAGCCACGCATACCAAACCCGAAGGGCTGCCATGCGTTGGGCTAAATGGATGTTTGTTAGCATTGGATTGAGAACAGGACGCAATGCGCTCACAGGAAGAGCTTCGAACTTTCCGTCAAGCATCCTTTCGGGCAGGAACTTGTCGGACTGTATGGAATACAGTTAGAAGGCGAAAACGCGCAGGATACCAATCACATACGTCTTCGCCCCAGATCTTAGGATCGCGTTGCATACTGTAGGTATTGACGACGACCGGTGTACCTTTCTCGATAGCATACTTGCCACCGATCACGGTATCCTCAGCAGCGCCGACCGTTCGCGCGGGAGCAGTAGGACCCAGTCGGAGGCCTTCGCGCATAACAGCTAGAGAGCGGTTCCAATTAGTCCAACCTCGTACTTGAGAAGGGAAGGTGTAGGAGAAGACACGAACCGAGCAGATAGGGGAGCTTCCCAACATCATGAACAGTCATAAGGCGTTCGCCAACCTTTGAATCAATCTCTTCTCGAAGCTTTCGCAATGCCTCTGGATTCTTGAGCAGGAAGTATGTGATGAAAGTGAGCATGCCTACAGATCCAGTCGTCAGTACATCTTCCCGCGGAAAGGAACAGTCACTAGCTTACCGGAAGTGGTTTCATGCCCTAAGGCCAACGCGTTCACGTATGATCACCATCATGCACCCAAGCATCCTCAACAGCACGTACCTGCAATTAGGAAAGTGATGAGCTGTTGTGAAGGGCATTAGATTGCGTTACCATCCCCATTTCGAAGAGAGAATCACGCACATTATTCTTGATGTTCTGCTCAGGAAGGCCAAGACCAGTCTCCTTATCACGCGCCGTCAACATCACTTGCACAAGGTCACCCTTCTCTGGAGGGTTCGCCTTATGGTCCTGCAAAACTGGGGCAAAACAGATGTGAATCAAAGTAGCGATATACAGATAGTAACTAACAGGAAACTTACTCTCATCAACGAGCTCATTCATGATGCGTATGTCGTCCTCGTACTTCGCGTTCGTGCCGCTCATGATGGCTTGAACTATGGATGGGCGACTCGCACGGCGTCCACTCTCGATCAAGAAGTCTGCCATCGCATCAGCGAAAGGGTGAGGGTCCTCCTGGAGTCGAAATCAGTATACGCCGCGATGACATGACGCCAGCTCGTGAACGCACTCGGTAGAACGAATTCAGACTACATTGTTACCACAGACGAGTAAGCCTCGACTACGAGAACAACCTGGGTGGGACATACTCACCGGTAAGACATAGCGCAAAGGGTGATCGCGTCGAGTGTCAAACGAGTATAATCGTTACTGGGATCGATCTTAATACGCGGTCCGAAGCTGCAGTAAACGATTAGAAGGGCGTTTCATGAGGCTATGCGCACTGCCCGACGGGCAAGGTAGCAACGACACTCACCGCTCCCACTTCAGAACCAATTGTTGCACGATATCCATCATATCATCGAACATGTTATAGATGGAGGCCGTGCCAAAGCATGGCATAAGCAAGCGGTCTACCAGCATCAATTCACGTCAGGATTTCCAGCTATCGTTCACACAAAGGTATTCATTTACGAGCGATATACCAATTCTGCTCCCGAGGGACGTGGGCCTGCGTAGCTTTTCTGAGCATCTTATGTTCTGCATATCAAGATCTATTGAAGTACATACCGTGAAAAGGCCATCTCCAGCGCCATTGCGCACTTGCTCGAGCGCTGCAGAGATCTTCTTGGGGAAGCGCTTGTCGTCGCTCACCTCGTTCACCAATTCGTACGAATTGACGAAGACCCTCTTGGCTCCTGGATACCCGATAAGCTCATTCAAGCTGATAAGATAGTAGCGGGAGTGCGCACCGAACAGCGAAAGCTGGAAGGTTTCGCCATATTGTTGGGCCAGGAGGTGGATCGACCGGATAGGTACGTCCTTCTCAACAGTATTGATGTGCCCGAGGAAGGGCACTGCAGGCGGACTGGGGATTGGGACGGTCATGATGCTGGAAAAGCGATCGTACGGGGATGATAGCTATCTCATCCAGCTGCGCCTGCGTTATATACGGAGAGGGGATCCAGACAAGAGCCTACGGACCCGGGGGACTCCCGTCGTCAAAGTCACCTTCGATCGCCCGTCTGATGCCAGAGACACGTACAGCAAGCTTTGGAGACCGCGGGATACCGGAGAGAACGCGAGCGACCTGGCGTGCAATGTTGATCGTACCCGGACATGAGGCTGCCGCGCCAATAATGGCGTAGGAAACGACTGTGGACGGTGATGCAAATCATGCAGGTCCGTATGCATGATAAGTAACGTCACGCAACCCTGCACCTGCGAGCGAGAGAGTATCCATTGCTTGGAAATCGCTGTGGTGGACTACCCTTGCTACGATCGCCGTGTGCGGGAGAGGACACCGATGGCGCCTATACATAGAGGGACGGTTATGTACGAAGCCGGACTGGCCGAGGGCCTAGCCAACGCTATCGGCGCGGAGTGTACACTCTGCCGATCCTCGATATCGAGCACTGGGGTCAGCACGACAACTCAGCTCACCGACGCGCTCCGGACGCGCGTTACCCACACTGCCCACCGCTCACTTGGGGCTGCTTGAGTCCCCGACCTACAGTCTTGCCGTTGATCGAATCCAGTGTGTTGGCTTCCGGAGCACTATACAGTCGACACCCTCTTAACCCATAGCCCTCGGGACAGGCCCAAATATATGGGTTTTGAGGGGTTATGGGCTACCAGAACTTTAGCGCCTTCTAAGCGCCCTGATCAGTCCCAGTTAGCTGAACAGGCGTCTACTGACCCTTCGAGGGAGCGCTATGGGATTTCGAACACACTAAGCTACCCACAATGTGGTTGAAGCATGGATGGATGCCGGGAGGACACAAGGAAGCATGTATCGAGTACTTTGTGGGTTATTGATGAGCGAAATCTCAATGTGACCACTATTACCGTATGGGTTTTGAGCCCTAGAAGGCTATGGGTTATGGGGTACTAGGGACCTATGGGTTATGGGGTCGAATTCCCCCTATCCCGACTTGGGAAAGCCAAAATCCTATGGGTTTTTAGAGTTTATGGGTTACCAGGGGTATGGGTTAGGAGGGTGTCGACTGTAGTCCTCTCGTGGATCTGGATATCGCAAGAGCCAGGTCGTATTGAAGGGGATTTGATCCCGACGACAGTTGTCATCCCATCAGTAGGCGCCCTGAAGATCTCGTCTCGATGGCTGTGCTGCCGCTCTCCGTCAACATCGGATTCGTGCTCTGTTCGCTATGGCACATTTGTCTCTACTACTTCTTCCGGTCCTCCTTACGTTCACTTGCTGCCTCATATCCTCCCAATGTCGGTCATTCACATGAGCCCTTCCGAGCGCTGCGACCAAATGCTACCCCCGGCCGATCGAGTGCTATTTGTCGAGAAGAGACGGCCAGTGTGGATTGCTTCACAATCGAGTTCTCTCCCTCCGTCAGCTACCTCACCTCATCTACTCGCCCTCCTGTCTCTGTGGTGATTGTCGGGCACACCGCGTTGACTCCGCATCCACACCATGAACACCTTGCCTCCTGATCACGCTTTGTGAACCAAGGACCCACGCAGGCCGTACGCCGAGTCTACACCCACTTCCGCCACCCGCTCGCGTCCCACCCCTTCTCGAACTCCTCGGCCGAGAACTTCTGCACGGCCCACGTCCGCGCCCGCGCGCGCATCGCGACGTCCTCCTCGGCCGACAGCGTGAGCACCGTGCGGAACGCCTCCGCGAACGTCTCCGGGGTCGTCGCGTGGAACCCCGTCGGCTCGCCCTCGAACGGCACGACGATGTCCAGCAGCGGCCCGCCCGACGCGTGTGCGACGACGATCGCCCCCGCGGCCTAGAAGACGAGTGAGAAAGGGGAGCTCAGCGAGCTGTCGTACCAGGCAAGCTATCGTGAACTGCGGCGCACCATGAACTCCACGATGTTGATCCCAAAGTGCTCGTCCACCATCGTCCCCAGCCCGATGCTCGCCCGCCCCAGCCAGCCCAGCATCTCCGCAAACGACGCGTTCACCACAAACCGCACCTGCGCCTGCACCCCAAGCTCCCTCGCCAGCGCCCGGAGGCCCTCCACGCGCGTCGCGTCCCCGACGTTCCTGCTCCCGCCCACAAGGACGAGCTGCACGGCCGCGGGGTTCGGCGCCCTGTACTCCGGGTACCGCTCGAGCAGCGCACGGAACGCGTGCAGCTGCGCGGGGTGGTCCTTCTCCGGCCGAAACTGCGCGATGCTCAGGATGACGCGTTCGCGGGGCGCGAGGGGGAGCGCGGCCATCTGGTGCGTGTCGCACGAGGGATACACGATCTGCGCCTCTTTGGGGGACGCGCTGCGGCGGCGCGAGAGGAGCGAGAGGAGGACGAGCGGGGGGAGGAGGTGGACCGCGTCGAGGAGCGTGTCGGAGTATTGCAGGATGGAGTCGACGTGGCCCTTGGTCCACGAGGAGTTGACCATGATGAAGCGCGCCTGGCGCAGGGAGTACGCGTAGTAGTACATGAATATGCGGTAGTACCTGCGGGCGAGGTGCGTCAGACGCATCACATACGGGTCAGACCCAGGCGCGACGCGGGTACGCACAGCAGTTTGCCGGCGCTGAGGATGGGAGATGAGGAGATGGCGCCGGAGTTGGTGTGTCCTGCAGCGCGGTTCTTCACGCGAGACACCATTGTCGTGCTGATCGTGGGGTAGTGGACGTATGCACCGACGGGAATGTTTCCCAGTAGTGAGACGACCGGGAAGGTGAATGCATACCCCATAGTGTCTGCACGGCTCGTTATGATGATGCTTCGAAGCCGAACCGCAACGAACACGCACCGATGAATAGGTCTGGTATCAGGATTGACATCGCCTCCCAGACGAGGTACATGGAGCCAAGGCTCTGACCCAGGAGGGTGAAGCGAGGCCATGTCGAGTCTTCGACTAGATACCGAGATTCCAAGAAGACAAAATGCAGGGATTTGGGCGACAACTCAATGTCAAATCTCGCCTACGTAGGGTGAGTGTATGGGACGAAGCAATGTAGGTGCGCCTCACACCTTTACTTTCTCTATGATCTTCTCCTTCGTTGTGTCGGTGTCTCCACTGTAGACAACAGAAATGATGTCCGGCTCCTTTCGTTGGATCGCCGACACGGCAGCCCACAGGACGCGCTCGCCCCCGCCTCCGGCATTACTTGACAATGCTACGTGAGATGAGAGGTACATCCGCTACGCTACGCCTCGCGATGCTCACCAATATGGATGGAAGAAGCCTACGATCTTCTTCGCGCTCTGTCCCTCTACCCCAAGCTCAGAAAATAGCTTCTCCTTCTGGTTGACATTCCTCCTGCGCAGTCCCAGTATTTGGCCGATCGTTTGGGCGACGAAGAGCGCGAGCAGGAAGCCGGTAAGGGCGAGGATCATGGCGTGCGGATGCAAGAGATAGGATGACGCTATAGCTCAGGTCAGGAAACCAGAAAGGAGGGAAACAGAGAGCAGCGTGAGCAAGAAGAATAAGGAGGAAGGAGACAGCGGCGATGAGTGGCAGCGCGTCATGTGCGCCTATGATAGAGCTGGGAAGGTCGCGTCTACACGACGACTAACGCGCGCCGTTCGTCGTCAGTACTTGTGGTCGGTCCGCCAGGCAGTGCCAGGCAGTGTGCCCCATGCGACCGCGAACCGACGAGTACTGCGGCCTCGTTCCCGAGCGCGTCCTCGTTCCCGAGCGCGTCCTCGTTCCCGAGCGCGTCCTCGTTCCCGAGCGCGTCCTCGTTCCCGAGCGCGTCCTCGTTCCCGAGCGCGTCCTCGTTCCCGAGCGCGTCCTCGTTCCCGAGCGCGTCCTCGTCACGCCTGCCTCCACCCCCGTCACCACCACCCTATCGGCTCCGGACGAGCTCCAGCACTGCGGCCTGGACCACCCCCTTGGCCACTATGGCTCGCCTCCGTCTCCACCGCGGTCGCTCCAGGACCAGATGCATGTCGCTTACGCCTTGGACAACATGCACCTCGCCAACATCCTTCCGCTCAAGCTTGCTCAAACTCCGATTGTCACGCCCGAACGTCGCCATTGGCGTGGGGATACAATCGGGACAGCTTCATCCAGCACCGGAGGGCTTCCCGAGGCCGCCCGCCTGCTTCTGTGTCTTTCGCGGCCTGCTTGGGAGTCTGCGACCGCGCGCGTTCTTCATGAAGCGGAAGGCGGGCCCGAAGGTGAGAACACGAGAACGAGGAGAGGGCCTACGCGCGCGAGGAGAGGGCCTACGCGCGCGAGGAGAGGGCCTGCGCGCGCATGAAGCAGGCTGAAAAATGGCCGATCCTGCCCTCCGCCTCAATGCGCTCGACGCCGTGACAGCCAGCATGCGCGTGTTATTCAACGCAACCCTGTCTACTGCAGCAATGTCTGTCGGTATCGGCCACCCCCGAAACAAAACCCCCAACCGCCGCCGCCGCCGCCGCCGCCGCCGCCATAACGCACAAGGCGGCGAACCAGAACACGGACGAGCAGCAGCGTGGGCGACTTGAAGCACCTACGCCAGACGTCAAGAGCACGGATGGGAAGATGCAGACGACGTGGAGCCGTGCAGCGCCGCATACTAGGCCGCCGCAGGACCCGGCGTGCATCCCGTTCTTCGGTTCGTGACCGTGTGTCGGTGCTCGCCTTGTCTCGCGTGCTGACAATCGCCACTCGTGTGGGTCTACCTTGCGCCAGTGCATCACTTCTGCAGCCTGCCCGACCTGATCGAGCCAACGGCGCCGCACGAGCCAGTGGGGATCGACTCGAAGACGAGGACGTTCGAGATGCCGGTGCACCCGCCGCGCCGCTGACCAACGTGCACAAGCAGCGGCTGATCTCGGGCGTGGTGAAGTCGCTCGTGGCGGGGCAGAACTTGCACTTGCACTTGGCGTCGAAGG